CGTTTCTTCCCCTTCTTCTCCTCCTCCTCTTCCCCATTACCACCACCACCATCATCACCCTCACCTTTTTCTCAGCGTGGAGGCCCTCCAGTAGCTTTCCAGATATTTGGATCTGCGTCGTCAGCTCCTGATGTCGTTGGCTGACGTCCGTCTTGAGGGACACTATCTTCTCGTGCTCGTGTCTTTTTCGATGCAAGATGCCCTGTGTGTTGGTGGTGGTGGTGACGTCATCTAAACAGATTCACACACACACACACACACACACGAACGAACACACGCTCAAAAACACAACTGTCAGGTAAATTTATGAAGCGCAAGTCTAAATAGAAATATTCTCAAAAGCGCTCTCAATTTTAAGCTACAAAGTGGAGAACAAAACTAAATTATGTCTGCATCAGCATTAGTTCGATGAAAACAAATAAGTTTTAAGGTTTTTTTTTAAACAACAACAAATAGATTCACACGTAAGCACATACACAGGACTACAAAAACAAACAAATTGATTGATACAGGCACAAACTTCAAAAACGCGCACGCACACACACACACACACAGACACACACGCACACGCACACACAGAGACACACACACAGACAAACATCAAAACTTGTCCTGACTTGGCAGTGATGATCAGAACAGCAACACCTCAACTAATTTTTTTCATCAAAAATTGTGAGTAATGACACACACACACACACACAGACACACACACACACACACACACACAACACTCACACACACACAGACACACACACACAACACTCACACACACAAACAAACAAACAAACAAACACAAGCAAACTGACCTTGACATTCCTGGACTGAGATGACCAGAAGAGCAGTGCCTTATCACTTTCCTCCAAGATGGCAGACTTCTCTTTGATCTGCGTCAGCAGTTCATTCTGCTCAACTACTAACATGTGGCCTTCGAGATTTTTTATCTTTCGAGCCATCGTCTGAACTGTCAGTTCCTAGTATAAAGTTTAATTTGATTGGTTGGTTGGTTGGTTGGTCGATTGGATGGGAAGGTTGGTTGATTGGTTGGTTGGTTGGTTGGTTGGTTGGTCGGTTGGCTGATTGGTTGGTTGGTTGGTTGGTTGCTTGCTTGATTGGTTGATTGGTCGAATGGTGAAATGATTTGTTGGCTGATTAGTCAATTGGTTTGCCCAATGGTTGTATGATTGGTTGATTGATTGATTAGTTAAATGATTAATTGGTGAAGTGATTGATTGGTTAGTTGACGAACTGGTTGAATGGGTAGGTGCTTGATTGGCAGATTGATTTTGTGACCAGGGTATGATTGGTTAATTAAAAAGTCATTGTTTAATGCTTGGTTGGCTGTTCTAAATGGCAAAAAAATAAAGTCATCATCATCATAATCATCACAATCATCACCGTCCACACCATCATCATTATCATCACCCCCACCGCCATCATCATCAACCTCACCACCTCAATCATCATCAACACCTTCACAAAGAAGAACATCATTTGCTGAATGCCTGACTGATTGATTTTATCCATCTCATCATCCATCTTCATGAAAGAAGTTTTGGATATCTACGATGGATGGACGGAGTGAATGGAGTGAATGGATTATAGATGTATAGATAGACTAATGAATGAATGTATGGATGGATTGATAGACTAATGAATGAATGTATGGATGGATAGATAGACTAATGAATGAATGTATGGATGGATGGATGGATGGATGGATAGATAGATGCATGTATGGATGGATGGATAGATAGATGCATGTATGGATGGATAGATAGATAGATGCATGTATGGATGGATGGATAAATAAATGTATGTATGGATGGATGGATAGATAAATGTATATATGAATGGATAAATGGATAAATAAATAAATGGATTAATAAATGAATGAATGGATGGTCATCATCATCAACAACATCAACATCATCATCAACACTTAACAGCAATATCGGTCAGGACAGACTTTTTCTGGTCGATAAGATTTTTTAACTCCTGTGTTCTGCAGTAATGAAACTGAATGGATGAATTGTTAAATGAATGAATGTATGAATGAATGAATCAATCAATCTTTTGTTTAGCATACAGAGACCCAATTCCCCGAGGTAGGACGTTATGAATGAATGAATGAATGAATGAATGAATGAATGAATGAATGAATGAATGAATGAATGAATGAATGAATGAACGAATGAACGAAGGAACGAACGAACGAACGAACGAACGAACGAACGAACGAACGAACGAATGAATGAATGAATAAATGAACAAACGAGCTAATAAATGAATAAATGAATGAATGGTTGAACGAATGAATGAACAAACGAACGAACGAACGAACGAATGAATGAATAAATGAACAAACGAGCTAATAAATGAATAAATGAATGAATGATTGAACGAATGAATGAACAAACGAACGAACGAACGAACGAACGAACGAACGAACGAACGAACGAACGAACGAACGAACGAACGAATGAATGAATGAACAAATAAAACAAACAAGCAATCAATCAAACAATTAAACAATCTATTAATATTAACGAATATATAAATTGAGCAATTAATCACATCACATTTGTTTGTTCATTTGATTGTTTGCCCACTCATTCATTCATTCATTCTTCCATTTGGTCATTCGGTCAATCATTCGGTCAATCATTCAATCTTTTATTCAATTATTCATTCAATCATTCAGTCATTTATTCATTCGTTCGTTCGTTTGTTCGTTCGTTCGTTCATTCATTCATTCAATCAAATAGAATGCACCTTAGTGAGTTCTTTCAATTCAGCCTCAGCCCTCAACCTCATGCCTTCGTCATCTCTGATCATCTTCAGGATCTTCTTCCCCCTTTCCAGCTTTGCCTCCATCTCCCTCTCCACGTTCCCTCTCTCCGTCACCAGGTTGTACACCTCACAGGCTGCATGCTTCAATCTTGTGAGTGAGTGAGTGAGTGAGTGAGTGAGTGAGTGAGTGAGTGAGTGAGTGAGTGAGTGAGTGAGTGAGTGAGTGAGTGAGTGAGTGAGTGAGTGAGTGAGTGAGTGAGTGAGTGAGTGAGTGAGTGAGTGAGTGAGTGAGTGAGTGAGTGAGTGAGTGAGTGAGTGAGTGAGTGAGTGAGTGAGTGAGTGAGTGAGTGAGTGAGTGAGTGAGTGAGTGAGTGAGTGAGTGAGTGAGTGAGTGAGTGAGTGAATGATAGATCGATTGAGTGATTCTGTAATTTGGAGATTGTGTGATTGATTGAGTGATTGAATGAATGATTAAGTGATTGATTGAATGATTGATTGAGTGGTCGAGTAATTGAGTGATTGATTGATCGATTGATTGGATGGTTGACTGATTCGTAGTTGAACGATTGATAGACAGATGAAAGACACCCCAACAGAATAAATGAAATAACACTAAATGCATTTTAATCTCACGAACACAGCCGAGCGAACCTTTCAACGATCTCCAAAATGTTCCTCTTCAACCGATTGACAGTCGACCTTGACATTTCAAGGTCAACTACAGTCCTATCCAGAGTTATCCTCAAACCTCTGTACTGCAGTTGTAATCAACAATACTCGTTAGCGTAATCAAGGTCGTCATCAAACAACAATAGATATTTCTTTTCGAATTTCATTCCAAATTTCATTCCAAATTTCATTTCAATTTTCATTTTCGAAGTTTATTCATAATCAACAACATATCAAACAAGTGAATAAAAGTTATGTAGTTGAATGTGCGGATCAATCTATCCGTCGATCAATCAATCCATTCATCCGTCCATCTATTCATCCATCCATCTACGTACTAACTCAACCACTCATACACTCACTCATTCACTCACTTCCACACTCATATACTCATTCATTCATTCATTCAATCACTCATACTCTTACTCACTCGCTCACTAAATCATTCACTCACACACTCACTCACTCACAGACTTACTCACTCACTCACTCACTAACTCACTCACTCTCTCACTGACTTCATTTTTAAGGGCAGTCAACTTCAGGTTCATCTCTCTGAGGTCGGCCTTCAACCTGATCTTATAGTTGCCGATGTTGAAGACTCTCTTAGTGAGTTCCTGATTGTCAGCCATAGAAGAGGACAGCAAGGTCTCCTTCTCCTTACGGAACTCCACTTTCTCCTTCGTCTCCTGCTTCAAATTTCTTATCGTCTGCGCATCGTCACGGCGGTGGTGGTTGTAGTGGTGGCGGTGATGATAATGAAGGTGATGATGGTGGTGGAGTAAGTGGTGGTAGTGGCATTATCTTCATCATCATCATCATCATCGTCGCCGTGATTATTGTCATCATCATCATAATCCACAATTCAATCATCACCATCATCATCATCGTTATCATCATCATCATCATAATTATCATCATCGTATCACCATCATCATCATAATCCACAATTCAATCATCACCATCATCACCACCACCATTATCCTCATCATCATCATCGTCGTCGCCGTGAATGACCTTGAAGAGCAGATCAATGTTGACCTCCTTGGATGCAATCAACTCGACCAGCTTCTGGAGCCTCTCGATGTGCTCCATCCTCTCTATATGGTGCCTGTTCGCCTCCTCGATCGTCTTGCTTAGGGAAAACTGATCACGTGGTTACGTGACGTCATCATTCGGCGATAATTCGAAAATGATGACGACATCACGTAAGTGAACATTACCACAGCGCGAGTAAATTGAGTGTAAGTGGCGCGATTCGGCAAGTGTGAATGGCTCACAAAGTCTCACGACCCTCTCACACATTTACGAAATTCATAAGCTAAGGATCGGTCTATCAAAAGCAAGCAGAGAAAAAAATATATATACACACATACACGTACACACAGACATACACACATAAATATACATACATATATAACATAAATATATACATACGTACATTCATTCGAACATTTTTTTTAATTCCATTTATTCACAAAAAAAAGTGAAAGAGTCAGCCTAGCAATAAATGCTTATCTAGGGTTGACTCCCATAAAACAAGAAATAACATAGTAAATATATATGAAATATACATTCATACACACATGCATACATACATGCATACATACATGCATACATACAGGCATACATACATACATACATACATACATACATACATACATACATACATACATACATACATACATACATACATACATACATACATACATACATACATACATACATACATACATACATACATACATACATACATACATACATACATACATACATACATACATACATACATACATACATACATACATACATACATACATACATAAGTCTGTGTGTTGGAAAATGTGCAGTTGAATGCAGACGTGGTTGAGTGACGTCATAGCAAATGAAATCAAATTTAGTCAGACGCTTGGCTTTTGGTGTCATTCGTCAATGATTTGGTTTTAACATACATACATACATACATACATACATACATACATACATACATACATACATACATACATACATACATACATACATACATACACACATACATACATACATACACACATACATACATACATACATACATACATACATGGGCAAAATGATAGTTTTTATGACTGTTGTTTTTAACTATGGGCTCGAACACATATATACATACACACATACACACACACACACACACACACACACAGATATACAACAGACACAAAACACACAAACATAAATATTTTACACATTCATACAAAAATACGCATACTACACGTACATACAGACATACGCATAGTAGACGAACATACAAACATACACATACTTACAAACGTACACACAAACATACAGATATATACAAACATACACATACATACAAACTACAGGTACACACAAACCCACTTTGAGCGCACATATTTCCGTATTCTCTTTATCAAGCTTTTTCTTCCTCTCCATACACACATCATTCAACTGAGAAACTTGTATGAGTAGGTCCTGAAGGTTTAAATGACGAAACGATTGATTCATTGGACAAGTGAATGAATGAATGGATGAATGAATAGATGAATTTGTAAATGAATGAATGGATGAATTTTTGAATGAATGAATAAATGAATGGATAAATGAATGGATGAATTTGTGAACTGATGATTAGACAAATAGTTAAATTAGATAATTAAGTTAACTTTTGACAAAAGAGAACCTTGATTTTTGATTGGTCGAGGTTGGCATAATTTGAATAGATAAACTCTTCCTCTTCCTTCGTTTGAACTTCAGCCTGCCAATCAGAGAGGTCTTTCTCATTCTGGCTCATCTCTTGCTTTTTATCATCAATCTTCATCTGTGTCTGATCTATGAAAGTCTGAAATGATGAAAATTATGTGATAATGATACATAGCTCAGTGATTGTATCTGTGAAAATGCGATTGTATCTGAGATTGTGGTTGTATCTGTGATTGTATCTGTGAAAATCTAATTGTATCTGTAAAAATCTAATTGTATCTGTATTGTATCTGTGATTGTATTTGTAAAAATCTGATTGTATCTGTGATTGTATCTTTAAAAATCTGACTGTATCTGTGATTGTATCCGTGAAAATCTGATTTTATCTGCATTGTATCTGTGATTATATCTGTAAAAATCTGATTTTATCTGTGAAAATGTGATTGTATCTGTATTGTATCTGTATTGTATCTGTGATTGTATCTGTGATTGTATCTGTGATTGTATCTTTAAAAATGTGAGAACATGACAGAGATGATCATTCCAAAATGAGTGAAAAAATGACCATATTAGTTAAAAGATAAATGTGATCCAATTGATTAAAAACAAATTCCATTAAAAAAAAGATCCATAGCTATTATAACAAACACACACAACATACACACACACAAACAAATACACAGATTTATATCATACAAAAACACAGATGCAATATATCTGACTTTCTTGTAATCATACATGTTTGATATTTCATTTTACAACCTTGAGTCACTGTAGTAAAAAAATTACCTATACCATTACCACTGACACTGAATAAGACTGACAATTAAGTAACTGACAAGTTATTTTTTCACCTTGATGTATGCCTGTTTTTCAAGAACGACATTCATCTGCCTATCGAGTCCCAACATCATTTCTGATATCTTACTCCTCTCTCTTCTCGACATTTTCAACAAACTGTTCTCGGTTTCCAGTTCGTTCTTTCTAATGTTTGCAAAGATCTTTTTGGCGTTGTTGGTTGAGAGTACGTATTTATTAATTTAATAATGATTTTTTTTATTTAACTGTATATATACTATACACATAGCCATTGATATCAATAAATTAGTTTGTAACATCACACACTCACTCACTCACACTAAACACACAACACGCACACTCAAAATACAACACACACACATAAACTTACACACAAAAACACACATATTCAAAATACAACATACACATACATAAACTTACACACACATACACTTACACACACACACACACACACACACACATGAACACACTCTGAACACACGCACAACCTGATTGCAATCAAGTTCATTTCTGAGAGCCTTGACAGCATTAGAAAGATCATTTATCTCCTCATCTGCCTCCCTCAACTCCAAGTTTATCACTCCATACTTTTTCAAATTCTCCAAATACTGAATAATATTTTTTTTAATTTTAAAATTTTAAAAACTAACAAATTTTGCATTTATAATTAAATTTTACTATCAAAAAAATATATTATAATTCATATTTCTAAAACCATTTTGATATTTAAATTGAGTAAAAAAATATATAATATTGTATTATAATTATGGTTATATTATTTTAAATTTTAATTTTATTTATCAACCTCAGCCTCCAACAGCTTATTTGTATTTGATGCAACTGGCACAGTGAAGTCAGAATCATTGGACAAAAATGGATCATCAACCATTCTAACAGCTTAAGAATTAAAATAAACTTCACAAGAATTGAATAAAATTTGTATCTGTTTTGATTTTATTTCAAACTTTGGAGACGTCTATTTAAATTTTAAATGGCTCAATCAGAAGCTGAAATGGACTTTAAATGTTTAAATGTAAACGATTACATTTGATAATTCTAATATTTTAATAACGGTCGTTAATGAAGCGCCAAATAAAATGTTATAAAAAGAGTGAAGAACATTTTTTCAGTTTTATTATTTAATGATTTATTGTTTAACTATCAAAAATTAAAGTAATTAGTTGATCATAAAGAATAAAAGAGCCAAAATTAAAGGAGCCTGCAGCGTCTTTATAACCTTATGTTGTCGGGTGTTAAAGAAAAGACAGCTAGTGTTGAGAAACCATGAAGTTGTTCCTTTCTGTGAAAAGCCAAAAAGTTGGCATTTAATGAATTTTGCTTGTTAGGTTTTACCACTCCTTTCTTTTATACTTTCAGGCATTTACTTTACAACATCCGCGTATTAGGCATGTCGTTCAAATAAACTCAGAGCAGTTTTTCAACCGAAGTAAAAAACCTACGGCTTTACTAAGCGGGTGGTTAGCCACCGTGTTTTCAAAACAAAAAACAATATTTTCATTTAAAATGACAAAAATAATTTCAAATTACATAACTCGATTTAATTACAATGCTTTAAAAATATTGAGTCAAATTTATATTTAGTATTAGATGTTTGTTGAAACCCACCACATAAAATAACTCCTAGACAAAACTTTCAGCAGAGCTCACAGGCTTAGTTGCAATCAACATGAACTTTCAAGTGAAGACGAAGATTTACCGTTGTTTCTTATTTTTAAATATCAAACAACACATACAAACAACACATGCACACACACACACACACACACACACACACACACACTCACACACATGTGAATACTCGTGAATCCACGCAACACACACACATACATTGAATGTGAAAAGCAGGGGTAACTTGTGGTCGAACCCGGCAGGTGCAACAACAGGACAAGCATCCTTAACCATTTTAGCGTCTCGCCCCTTGAGTTAACGTACAACAACGTTGAAAACCATGTAGAAAATTATGTCATCACAATTCAGGTTCAAATGCAATCAATTGAACAAAAACTCTTCATTGATAAAGTGTGTTATGTCATAATCATCGTTTTCGTCATCTTCGCTAGTTTTTTTTGCGAATTTACTTGGTTGGCTGGTTGGTCGGTTGGTTGGTTGGTTGGTTGGTTGGCTGGTTGGTTGGCTGGTTAGCTGGTTGGTTGGTTGTTTGGTTGGTTGGTTGTTTGGTTGGTTGGTTGGTTGGTTGGTTGGTTGGTTGGTTGGTTGGTTGGTTGGTTGGTTGGTTGGTTGGTTGGTTGGTTGGTTGGTTGGTTGGTTGGTTGGTTGGTTGGTTGGTTGGTTGGTTGGTTGGTTGGTTGGTTGGTTGGTTGGTTGGTTGGTTGGTGTCAAGTTTGTCGATGATTCCAGTACCTCATCAGGGTTATGATCCAAAGAAGTGGAGTGGTCTTCCAACAATTTTGATCAGTTGGGATTATTTCTCAAGATGTTTAAAAAATCATAAAAAAAACCATTTTTATTTGCTTTAAAAAATGCGCAATGCAAATATAATAATTGAAGACTTTTAATTAGCGATGTGAAGTTAGTGCGGTTAAAAAATTTTATTGCATTTAGATCACAGTCGCAAGACTGTGGTTTGGTGTTATTGGATAGTTAAAATATCTTTATTGGCTACAAATTACAGTCACAAGTTTAACTCACTGTTGCATTTGTAGTGTAGACCAGATTATTTGGAAGAGGTGTTACTCAAAAATCAAAAGTTGATACCATGGATATATATATATATATATATATATATATATATATATATATATATATATATATATATATGTTGATTCAACAATATATATATATATATATTTACAATATTCTATAAATTCTACCGAATGTTTGGCGTTAATGTGCCGGGAAGAATTTATAAATGCATATATGCAATCATCAAAACTAGAACTTCATAAAAAACTGACCAACCTGATAATATTAAGGCCAAACATTCGGTAGAATTCATAGAATATTGTAAAAATTATGGTCTATTACCAACATATATATATATGTATATATATATATACATATATATAAATAAATATATAGATATATATATATATATGTGTGTATATATATATATATGTATATATATATATTTATATATATATATTTATATAATGGTTATATCCATGGTTGATACAGAACAATGTCTAGGAGCTAAACTGAGGCAGTCCTCTGAAGAGGTTGCCATTAAGTTAAAAACAAATTTAATAAAAAGTTAATACTCTTACTCAAAATTAAAAATTGTGTTAGAATTTCACAAAACAATTTTTACTAATTGTAACTCAAAACATCGAATATGTGTCAAGCAATCAATATTTGATAAATTTTTTAAATGATTTACATTAGCGTTTTTTCATATTACAATATTATCATTTATATTTTAACATCACCAAAACAACAAGTTTACCATATTTGTTTGTTTGATTGTTTGTTTGCTTGTTTCCTGCTAGCCCGCCCGCTTGCTTGCTTGCATGTTCGTTTTTTGTTTGTTTGTTTGTTTGTATGTTTGTTTGTTTGTTTGTATGTTTGTTTGTTTGTCTGTTTGATTGTTTGCTTGTTTGTTGCCCATCTTTGTATTACAATAAAATTATTCAGGGTATATAGATATAAATTTTTAAATGAATAATATCAAAAGATGAACTATGATTCAAAGGACTGACGTTAAAGTTCCT